GACAGCTGTTTCTTGTTAAACGAAAAAGGGCAGAGGGCCTCTACATACAGAAAAATCTACTCTAATAAAATCAAGGGAAAGCTGAAAATCAGAGGAGAGCACCCTCAAGCTTGCTTGGGACCAGGTTCAGAGAGAGAGGAACAGTGACAGGGGCCACTTTTCCTCTGTTCAGATCCCTCCCTGCTCCCAAGGCTCAAAATGGCCAGCAACACCACCCCAATTCCTCTTTGACCTTGTCTCTCACTACACTGGCCTCCAGGTACCATCTTACCTCAGGGCCTTTGCACTGGCTGTTTCCACAACCTGGGATGTTCTTGCCTCAATCTCCACAAGCTCTTTTCCTTACCTCCTTCAAGTCTCTACTCAAATGTCACTTGACTCCCCTATTTACAGTATAATTCCCCCACACACTATGATCTCTCCTTTATCCTTTTTTTCATAAGTGTTATCACCTTCTACCACAGTTTCTCCTTTATCTGCTCCCTGCTGGAAGGTCAGCTCCCCCAGCCAGGAGTTTTGGTATCTATCTCAGGGCCATGTACCCAGGCACACAGAAAAATCGCTCCAAAGTGTTAAAAACATTCTTCAATGAAGACCTTTTGTTTTAAGTACTTTCTCTGTGCTAACTCCAAGCATTCTAAAATAGTCTCATCTAATCTCCTCTCAACTCTTAAGAATTTTTGCCTTATTATAACTCCCATTTTAAAGAGGAGTTCAGTTCCTCACATAAGGATTCACAGTCTGCAGTGAGGGCTGGCACCCTGAGGTGGAACAGACCAGCCCCCTTCCTTGCTGAGGGAACTGAGGCTCAGAGAGGTAATAGATGCATGAAGCAGAGCCCAGCTGACCCACCCAAACTGGAGGCCCCACCTTCCTCCTGCTCCTCATTAGAAGAAAAAAATTCTGCTGGGCATGGTGGTGCACACCTGTAATCCCAGCAACTCAGGAGGCTAAACAGGGAGGAGTCCAAGTTTGAGAAAAAAAAGAAAAAGAAAAAAATGCCCCAGTCCTTCCTTCTTGCCAGCTCCTTGCAAGGCTCTGGGTTTAATCCTTGGTGCCAAAAAAAAAAAGGCGGGGAGGGCGTCCCTATAGGTCTGTAGATCTATCTGCAAGTGCAGAGCAGAAAAACCAGGGATCTCAAACTCCAATGTAGCCTGATGGGGTAGGAACTGCTGGTTCTAAAACTCAAAGAGCTAGTACTACACCAGATGCAGGCCCCGCAGAGTGAGGCAGTAATGAGAGTGACTGGAGCCATGGGTAGAGAACCAAAGGAATTAATCATTAACTTATCCAGGCTCCAAGGGAGGATCCAGTTATCACCCCTATTTTTTTTTTTTTTTAATACTGGGAGGGAGCCCAGGACCTTCCACAGGCAAAGCACACACTGTACCACAGCTACACCCCAACCCTATCACCCTCATTAGAAAAGAAACCCAGAAAGCCAAATCCATTCAGCAAAGTTACACAGTCAAACATGGTGGATCCCAGGACCTGTGCACCACATCACGAACCTCTAAAGATGTGGGGTTTTCTTCTAGCACCACAGGAATTTAATTTAATGTGAAATCTACATTTAAAATGTTGGCACCTCTCAGCTCCCAGGGCCAGTGATCTGCAACCCCTGGTACAGTCCTGAGCTAAGGGGGCCACTCTCAGAAAATCCACAGAGGAAGCAAAGAAACAAAGCAGCTGTGCTGACCCACTAGGTGCTGGCCTAGCCACAGGCCCTTGACTCGCTTTCACTCATTCCTTACGCCTGCCAGGATGCCCACTGTATATGCACAGCACACTTGAGGGAAGAAACAGGTTCAGCTCAGTTGGGCCAAATTCATGAGAGGAAATAGGGAGTGTAATTCAAAGTGTGGCCCACCTTCAGCAGCCTCCTAGCAGGGCTTTGTAGTTGAGAGGCCTTACCCACATTCCAGAAATCAAAGAATTTAAGCTCTCTTTGAGTACTGTACCCAAGAAAAGGTCTTTTTACAACTTAGATTTTCAGGCACTGAATTAATGATCTTAACTGCTGATGTCTACATTGCAGGATTCTGGGAAGACAATGCCATGGGAGCCACCTCAGCAGTCATGGTCAGCACCAGGTTGGAGGGACAGGGAGAGGTGGGTGTAAGGAGGCACGGCAAGGAGTAGAGGGCCTGAAGGAGGTGGGGAAGGGTCAGAGACTCGAGCCCCCAACCCAGAATCCCAATCCCTCTTTGAACAGCTTCAAGCAAGAGTGCATGGCTCAGCTCTCCAAGCCTCAGTTTCCTGCTCTGTAAAATGGGGAACCACTGCAATGCCACCCTCATAAAGCTTAAGTGAAGTTCAATTAAAAAATTAATTTAAAAAAATGAAGTTCAGCCAGGCACAGTGGCAAACACCTGTAATCCCAGCAGCTCAGGAAGCTGAGGCAGGAGAATCCCAAGTTCAAAGCCAGCCTCAGCAATTCAGCAAGGCCCTAAGCAATTTAGCAAAACCCTGTTTCAAAATTAAAGGAAAAAAAAAAAAAGAAGTCCAATACAAAATTTAAAAGCATTTTAATTCTGGTTCAATTTTGCCATTAATATAAAAGGAATCAGCTAAGTAAGTAATAGCCCCATCCACGGAGACCTACTGTATACCAGGCATTATACTAAGTAAGCACTTTTTTTTGAGACAGAGTCTCACTATGTTGCCCAGGCTGGTCTGAGCTCCCAGGCTCAAGGGATCTTCCTACCTCAGCCTCCCAAATTAGCAGGAACTACAAATTAGCACACCTACTAGCCAGCTAAAACAAACTCTTTTTTCTCCCCCGGTGCTGTGGCTCAAACTCAGGGTCTCATACACACTGAGCAAGCACTCTACTACCGAGCCATATCTCCAGCTCTTAAAGCAAGGGCTTTCAGGGCTGGGGATATAACTCGGTTGGAAGACTGCTTGCCTTGCATGCACAAGGCTGTGAGTTCAATCCCCAGCACCAAAAAAAAAAAAAAAGCAAGGGCTTTCAATGCACTATACACTGTATCCTTGCCACATTCTTTTTGAAGAACCATAATCCAATTTTTTTGGGGGGAGGGAGACTTGGGAAGTGAATGAATGAGAACAGTGCTTGCTGCCACCAAGTTGCGGACTCTCAATTTCTTGACATATGGTAAGATGGACTAATACCGTCAGCCACAGCAGAGCAGTATGCAGAGGTGAACTCCTCAATCCCAAAAGACGGAGAAGGAAAAGTCCCCCTTTCCTCTCAGTCTGTCACCAGTACCTCAACTTGGATCATTCAAGACTTGGAGGAGCCAAACCACTTGTGCAAGGTCACAAGGCAAATGAAAAAGAGTTCTGAAGATGCCCACTGGAAGCCTGGGCAGGAAAGAAGACAGCTATGCAGAAGGGTCCCACAGCCTGGTCTGAATTTCAACTGCCCCCAACTCCACACCTTTCTGCCACAGTAGACAGTGCCAGAGACAAAGCAGCAAAGGAGGAAATTCTGGCTGCTGTGAGAAAAATCCCAGGACTCTCAGAAGGCAGGGCAGGCCTGAGTGCTGTCAGGCTCTGCTGTGCAAGAGCCTGGTGGCCTTGGATGGATAGCAAGTCCTTCCAGAACCTCCCAGTTCATCTCTAAGGAGGTGACAAAAAACCTTCTTGCCACTTGCTCATTGCTGGGATTCAAAACACAGAACCAAGGAGGAGCTTAGCCTGAGACCTGCTGGATGAATTCTATCCCTTAAGACTGATAACAACAATAATAACAATAATTATGACGACGATGACAGCAATGAGGATGTTATCACTTGGTAGGCACACCATCACAAATGGAGTACTTCCTGGAATGCAAAAGTGGACGCCCATATGAGAAACAGAAGGATAAGAAGGGAGGGGAAGGGGTAAATTGACATCCCTTGGTGTCAGCAAGCACTGTTCTCATTCATTCACTTCCCAAATCCCAAGACTGGAATTTGCCACTGGACAAGTGGAACAAACTGAGGCTTCTCAGGGCTGCTCAGTTATTGCTTCTTTGGCTTGATCAGGCAAGTAGTCTATTCCCAGAGGCCCCTAAATTGCAAGCTTTGGCTTGGGGGCTGGCCCCTGTGTGCAAGGGTAGGCCCCAGAATGCCCTGACATAGGCCAGGAAAAATCCCTAGAGAACGGTCCTATATCCATTTGAGAGAGGAAAGAGTTCAATTCTCACCCTTCAGCTCTTCTCTGCTCCACCCTCCTGTCAGCCCCTTCCAGAGGGGTCGAGCCAGAGAGTCAGGAGCTGCCAAGGAAGTAATGAGTAGACACCAGGGCAGATAGGATTCAATGGCAAAAGAGGAGCCAGCAGACACAAAGTTGAAAAGTCAGCCTTGAAGAACCAGACAAGAGACTCCATGGAGAATCCAGTCCGTAAGACAGTGGAGGGCAGCTAGGGTAATCGGGAGGAATTGATAACTGTTAGGCTGCAGGGACACAGATGGGCAGACGGACGGCAGAGATCATTCTGTATAGCTAGCCAGATAGTGGGCGGGGGCAGGGGGGAATAAGGGGTATGCTACTGGATGGGTCTGGACAGATGGACAGCCAAATGGTGGTATTAGGGAGGCATGCCCAGAACAGAAAGACAGCCAACCAGACAACAGGGGCTGCCCCTGATAAATGAACCGCCAGTCAGACCGCAGGGGTCTCCCTGATATATATCTAAGTGGCAGGTTTCATCCCTGATGGAAGGACAGATGAGCAGGAGGATCTATCCCCGATCACAGGCAACCAGGTGGCAGAAGTGACCTACAAAAAGTGGGACCAGATAACACTGCGGGGGTCTACCGCACTCCTTGTTCGACGATACCCAGCCCATGCGACCACCCCTGGGTCTGCACCCCAGCCCCTGCAGGGAACCTTCTGCCCAGGCGTCCCACAGGGACCGCCTCCTTGTCCCAGTCGCGGGCACGCAAACGCCGCAGTTACGCCGGCGGCGCAGGGAGCGCCATTCCCGGTACGCCCTCCGCGCCCTAGGCCGCCGCCCTCCCGCAGTCCCCGCCGCGCTCGCTCACCGACCCACGAAGTTCTCGAGTACTGAGCTCTTGCCGGCGCTCTGGCCGCCCACCACAGCGATCTGCGGCAGGTCCAGGTGGCAGCTCTGGCCGATGGAGCTGAAGGCGTCCTGCAGCTTGTTGACCAGCGGAATCAGCTCTTCCATTCCGCGGTTGCCCATGGCGCCGGCGGCCCCGGCCCGAGCGCCCGGCGCTCCGCGCCCACCCCCGACCCTTAACGACCCGGCCCCGCGGCGTCCGTGGCCGTTGCTCCCTGCCCGCCCGGGTCTCGGCGCGACGCCCGCTCCCGGCTCGGCCTCACGGTCGCCGCCTCATCCGGTTCTCAGGCGACATCCGACCTGAGCGACCTCCCGCCCCGGCCTGTGGGCTGCTCCCAAAGCACTTGTGTTGCAGCCGATTGGTCAGAACCGCTATCACTCCTGCACTTGAGCCAATGGAGACGAGGCACGGACCTAAGGCTATGTAAGCCTTCCCCCTAAGGAACGTCACGCAAGTTCATTGGATGAAAGAAGTGTCGCTGGTGTCCAAAGGCCAATGGGAGCGGAAAACGAGTTGTCAAAGCAGCGGGGCGGTGTCTCGGGAAACTACATGTCGGATCCGCCCAGTAGGGAGATCTGCGCCTTATTGGTAGGCAAACACGCCAGTCGTGAAAGCTGACCAATGATGTAAGGAACCGATCCTAAAACATTGATTTGTCTCTTGACACTACCTACTTCCCTATAAATTTCCCATTGGCTTATATAAATATCACTTCGCAATTCCAGCCAATAAGGGAAAAAAGGGTGGGCTTTAACATCCGAATCTTGACTCTGATTGAAGACTGTATCTGTCAGTTGAAGGAACTCCGTTCTTACCAGTGATGTTCGTGTTAGTCTTCTGAAGGGGAGGGTAAGATCCACCGTACTTGCCGAGGGGTGACACCTTGTGGTAGTAACCAGTGATTGTCACTTGAGTTCCGAGGTCTTGAGAAAAACTACAAGTCCCAGAATGCCTCATGGCTCCCAGCCCGCAAGTCAGCTTTCGGAGCAGGGTCCCTTACTCGCTTTGAAGATGAATCAGACGACACTATTGCTTCCTAGGGAGAGGTCAGTCACGCCTTTGCAAATATGGTGCCTCCCCCCATCTGCGAGTGTCCCATCTTAATGCGAGGAACGCTCCAATGTTGTTTTCCAGTCTCTTCAATTTTAGCCCATCACGGATCTGAGAACTCAATGAAACAACAGGATCCTTTCCCTAATGCAAAGCCGCTGTTTTTCAGACAAAGGTGGGGATTCTGGAAACTGTAACTCTAGGCCCAAAGTGATTTTATCCCTCTGGGCATACGTGGGCCAGAAAACAGGGAAATCAGTGTGTTAATAGGAGCAACACAGAATGCAGAAGGGGATTGACACGAGTGGGTACACTGACATGCAGAAACAGTGGGAAGGAGGATGGCAGAGTGGCCGATAGTATATGCCTGCTCCACGACAGGTCTCAAAAATGGGCAAAAAAAATTATTTACACTTTTTTTTCCCCCTTTTGAGGTAATAGAGCTTTTTACTCTCCAAAACTGAAAACAAATAAGTGTGAAGGAGAGAGAACAATCAACAAGGTCTGGTATTGCAGAAACTAGAAACTCCCTGTCCATTCAAGGAGTTGGTTGAATAATAATATGCAGAAACTGTAAAATAAATAAATAAATAAAAGAAAACCAAAAGATTAGAAAGCTCTTTATGTACTGGCCTATATAAAATTTGAGGATACTAAGGTGGGGAGGAATAAAATTCAGAACTGCATTGTACAGGATTCTGACTTTAGAGAAAAACAATATACATACAAGGAAATTTTCTGGAACACATAAATTAATACAAATAGTTTCACTATTGAGTTGTTCCTCACAACTTTTTCAGTTTTAAAAACCTAACTTAAAAACACCAGCTCTGTAACAGCTCATATTTGGGTTAGATCATGGGCCACTTTGTTAACCTGTGTGATCCTGTGGCCTAAATGTTTTTGATTTCCCCAGAACTCATGTTGAAACCTAACCCCAATGTGATGGTATTTGGAGGAAAGAACTGATTAGATCATATGAGCAGAGACCTTTTAAATGTAATTAGTGCCCATATAAGAGACCCCAGGAAGCTACTTTGTCCCTTATACCATGTGAGAACACTTTGAGAAGATAGTCATCCATCTATGAACTAGGAAGCAAATCCTCACCAAACAACAAATCTGCTAGCACCATGATTTTTCCAGCCTTCAAAACAGTGATGAATAAATTCCTGTGCTTTCTAAGCCACCCAGTTCATGTCTGGACACTGATAGTAACCAAAAAGCTTCATAGCTCTGAACCTCAATTTCCTCATCTATAAAATGGGAACATATCTGTATCTTACATCATAACTTTGCAAGAATTAAATACACATGACAACACTTTAAAACAGTGACACAGGGAATGACAGCTTAGGAACTTAGTGATAGTGTGTGTGAATGTGCCTAGCTTGCCAGAGGCCCTAGGTTCCATTCCCAGGATGGCCCCCAGAAAAGAAAACATGCCATAGCGTAAAAATGTTAGATCACATGTATTATCACATCATTTACTGACAGCTACACTGTGCCACATGTCAATTGAAACTAAAAGCCAGGCATGGTGGCACATTCCTATAATCCTAGCTACTTGGAAGGCTGAGACGGGAGAACCACAAGTTCTAAGCAGCCTAAGCAAGTTAGTGAGACCCTGTCTCAAAATACAATTTAAAACGGCAGCGCTGGGGATGTAGCTCAGGGGTGCAGCACTTGCCTGACATATGTGAGGCCCTCGGTCGAATTAAGAGTCAAGACTAGCCAGGTGCCACGGCACACATCTGTAATCCCAGCAGGGGATGAGGCAGGAGGATTTCAAGTTCAAAGCCAGCCTCAGCAACTCAGTGAGGCACTTAGCAACTTAACAAGACCCTGTCTCTAAATAAAATATTAAAAAGGGCTGGGGATGTGGCCCAGTGGTTAAGTACCCCTAGGTTTAATCCCCGGTACCCCCCCACACTTCAAAAAAAAAAAAAAAGAGTCAAAGGCTGGGGCTGTAGCTCAGTGGTAGAGCACTTGCCTAGCATGAGTGAGGCACTGGGTTCAATCCTCAGCACCACATAAAAATAAACAAAGCTATTGTGTCCATCTCCAAAAAAATAAATAAATAAATAAGAGTGAAGACAAAAAGCAGAATCAAACTGCCATTTCCTTGACGGTGACCTTAGGTAAGCTATTTCCTCTCCCTGGGCCTGTTTCTTTACCTGTCAACAGACGGACAAGAGTGATCACCTCCAGAGTAGTTGGGAAGCCTGGGTCACAGGAAAAAGGATGTAGCTACCACCCTGAGACCACATCCTACATGCTGGGCTGTGCCAAGTGGTTTCCAGTTACCAGCTGCTGCCATGTTCCTTTTTTTTCCCCTCCCCCCTGTACTGCTGGGGATGGAACCCAGGGATTCCTGCATGCTAAGCATGGTCACTACCACTGAGCCAATGTGGTCACTTCTTACTCTCAGTGGAAGGGGTGGACAATCCAACTGCAGTAATGCTCAGTCTGGGAAGGTAATGGGGACAGGCCGCCTCCCCAAAAGAAAACAGACACATACTACGTTAGAATTTTTAAAAGCTTAAAAAATCCTTCAGTATCTTCCAGCCCCAACCTCCATTTCCCTTGGTCAGGTCAGCCCAGTGTTATTCCCACAGAGGCCAGGGCTTCGGTGGCCCAGGTGGGACAAAGGGTGTGGTCCCCATACATGGTGCTCATGAAGTTCCTCACGAAGTCAGGGAAGCGCTTCTCCACGATACTGGTGCGCATGGCACTCATCAGCTGCAGCTGCAGGAAGGGAGCATCAGCATGGGCCAGGGGCACCCAGGAGACCTCCCCCTGCCCTCACCCACCCCCAGGTATAGGCCCACCTGGTAGGCGATATTGTGGACAGTGAGGTGGTGCAGGGCGGCTGTGTTGTCGCTGTGGAGTAGAGCGTGCAGGAAGGCCCGGCTGTGCCTGTAGGTCAGCAGGGGGTGGCTGAGCAGAGCCCAGCTTTCCCCACCTCCAGCCCCCAACTACATCACCTACTTCTTGCAAGTGGGGCAGGTGCACTCGGGGTCTATGGGGCCAAAGTCCTTCTCATACTGCTTCTTCTTCAACTGCAGGTTGCCTGTGGGCACCAGGGCAGAGCCAAAGCGCTGGGGACCAAGAATGGCAGTGGAGGGCAGATCACAAGGTCTGAATCCTTCCTGGTCCCTCTCCCGCTTCCTTCTTCCCCCATCTCCCTCCCTGCCAGTACCCTGCCCATCTGTCAGCTCCCTGCCCAGGGCCTCACCGCTGTCCTTGTGGGATAAACACAGTCGAACATGTCACATCCAAGAGCCACGCAGACCACCAAATCGGTAGCATAGCTGGGGGTAGGGGGGCAGCCATGGAGGGAGTAAGAGAGAGCCTGAAGCCTTACATGGGCTTCCCAGGCCCCTATCCCACCCCTAGCTGGGCCATATTGTCTCAAAACCATCCCCTGGGGGCAGTCATGTCCTCCTTAGTTCCCCCACAGCAGGGCTGTATCCTTCCCCCATGTCTTCTACAAGCGAGGGAAAGGGTGCTCAGGAATCTGCTCCCCATAGGCAGGGTTCTGTCTCCTCTCACCCCAACATACCCAACGCCCATCAGGTAGCGGGGCTTGTCCTTAGGCAGCCTGGAGGTGCTCAGTGCCACCATCTTCCAAAACTGGGCCTTGCTCTCACCACCACTCAGGCCTCCGATGGCGAAGCCTGGCACGTCCCTTTTGGTCATCTCTGAGGGTACAGATGGTCCTCAATTTACAATGATTTCTGAATTTTCCACTTTACAAAGATGCAAAAGCATACCCATACAATCATCGGGTTTTCTACCTTCAGGGCTGTATTCAATAAATAACATGAGAACATCATGTAAAGACAGGCTTTTTGTCTAATGATTTTGCCCAACCTTAGGCTAACACACATGTCCTGAGCACATTTAAGGTTGCCTAAGCTGAGCTACAATGTTCACTAAAGCAAATGTATTAAATGAATTTCAACTTACAATGTTTTCAAGTTATGATGGTATAACCCCATCATTGACCTGAAGAATAGGGTAAGGTAAGGGGTGACCAGACAAAAAGGAAATGTACCTCATATCCTTGTCCCCAGGAAAGACCTTGTCTAGATATCCATAAGACAGAGAGAAGGAAGAGGAGATATAACACACAGGAGGAAAGGAATCTGTCTATGGATGCTGACTCTGAGTGCCCTACATGTAAGACCCTCTACTTAATTCTCAGGAGAAGCCCATGACCCACACTTCCATTGCTGAAACCTTTGGAGTCAGATGA